TTTTTTCCTCTTTTTTCTTTTAACCAGAACGCCACAGCTAATGATTCATTATCGCCACAGAAATACACAATAGGTCACCTACATTTTTTTAGTATGTGTGCAGCCTTTCATTGATTGCATTTTGTAGTTGATTCAGAAAACACTGAGCACAATATTTTTGGGTTAGAAAAGGAAGACAGTATCAACAAGTAAGACCTTAATCTGCAACAGTATTTGCTGCACTCCAAGAAGATGAAGCTTTGTTCCTGTCTGAGTTGGGGGAACTTTGCCAGCAACACTGCCAAGACATGCCAGCTCCCACAAGTTGAGAAAATAATAGGACTTTTTTCTGGTTTGATGAACAAACTGTAAGAGTAATTACATCATTTAATACAGAGGTAAATCAATGGTGCTTGACAACTCACAACAAACAGGATGGAGGCAAAGAGAGAAGAGGTGGGTGAACTAAAAAAAAATACTTAGTGCTTTCTTTTTGTTCAAGCTGAAGCACTTTATTTGATCTGAAACAAACCAGTTTGTCTACTGATTATCGTTCAGTTAAAAAAATATGAATTAAAAACGAAAGTGTAATTTCAGAATCCGAATGTTTTCTTTGCAAAATATCCAACCTTTCAGATCTTTCAAATCTTTTGTCATATTTTTCCAACGCATTTATGCACTAAGTCGAATCTGAAGCTAAAATACTTTTCCACTGAAACCACGTTTTCCTTAAATTTTCAGGCTTTGTATCATCACAGATGTAAAGGCCACAAGAAAGCTTCACCTGGGTCTCTTTGCAAGACCAAGGCATTAATTCCAAACCTTTACTAACCTGTATGAGAGTTGGAACTTAGCAAAAAGGAAACTTTTATTCTTTATATAGCTGAAGCTACAATCAGGGATATGAGCTCTAGTCCCTTCGTTCTAGTCCTTAACAATGGTCAGTAGATGAAAGGACAGATCTGCGTGTGCATAAGCACCTCTCCAAATAAAAGTAGTTCAACTAACTACACGGCCCATTGATATTCCCTCTCACTTTCCTGCATCATGTTTCTCATTCTCTACCCAGAAATGGCCTACTTGAATAGTATAAGCTTTTCAGGGGAGGGGTGACATTTCCGTACTTCTCTGCGAAGTATGCAGCACATTAGCCAGGCAAGTATGGCAATTCTGCCTCCCTCCCTCAGCATCCCCTCCTAACAGAATACAACATCCTCATCTTGTCTGAGTGTTTTGCAACCATCAGTTGACTTCTGTAGGTGAAAAGGCA